TCAGACTGTGTAGCATCTGGGGAAGATCGCGGTAGGCGGCAGGACGCTTTTCCCAGAATACCACTGTGCTTCCTTTGGTTACAGCCCTGCCACTCCCCATCACTTGTTACTGTGGCTCAGGAGTTTAAGAACCATACTGGCTACTATGAATAAGGGAAGGAAAGCTCAGGAAGCAGTCATGCATCTGTAAGGGGCTGTTCCTGTTCGCTGGCTGTGGGGCGGCGTGGGAAGTTGCTGTTTTCAGGAGTATAACAGGCCCCCTGCTGGATGCGGATAGACAGCTGTTGAGAGTCAAGCATGTGTGGGGTTTTTCTTGGACCGACATGACTGACTGGGATGGACTTCTGGGATGAGGTCATTTCAGGGGAGGCCGGAAGACTGGTGGAGATGCCATAGTCGTCCCCTCCTCCTCCTCCCCCCCCTCCCATGCACTCCAGCTGTCAGTGGTCAGGAGGTGGGACAATGATGGAGCGGGCGCTTTGGCTTGCAGTCCCAAAACAGGGGGATTAATTATGAAGGGATCGAATGTGCTAATTAAACCGATGGCTTCAGGCTCATGCCTCAGAGGCTGATGAAGGGGGCAAACATGCAGGGAATGGTAAACCTTACATAGCAATGGGGGACATTTGTGTCAGGGGACATGTCCATACTTGCAGCCTCATTGTATTGATGGACACATATTTTGACCAATCAGTGTGTTCTGTCTCCATCCGGGAGACATTCATTTTCTCTTGGGCTAAACCAGTAACATACACTGTAAAATGGGGGAAATTCACTGAATAAAAACAGCATCTTTTGCCAAGGGTTGGTGTTTCAGGATGTACTATACTGTTTAATATAATGTATATTGTCACTTGATGGTGAGTGCTTTTCAGAGAGCTGTCCTGTTGTCCTGTGCAGGGAGCAGCTTAGTACTCGCCAAGTTTTATTTATATATATATAGGGACAAACTTGGCTTCTGTGTGCTTTTTTCTGACAGACCTTTTGGGTCTTTCTGTCAGAGAGCCATCATATATGTGGTTTTGCCCAGTGTTTTTCCAGACTGCGTTTGATGAATGTCATTATCTGCCCTCACATCAGCTGTTTTTAGTTGCACTCTTTGAGAAATTGCTGCTTTTCCTCTTCCGCTGGTGGCTGATCAGTGGATGCCCTGAGGAGGGCTGTATGGATGCTGGAGGTCAGCTGATGACTGGCCCTTTAAATACCCCTCAGATGGCACATGGGCCGACACTCTGCCATGTTTTAGAGAGAGGGCTCAACTCCTACCTTGCCCTGTACCGTGCTACTACAGCGTACCAGAATGGGCGATGCAGGTCTGTAGACCTGCTTTCTCCATTGATGCCTACCCATCTCTTCAACCTCATCAAACACACTTCATGTGCATTAGGCTTGTATCTTTAGCACACACTGATACCACAGCAGCACTCAAAGCAAACCTCAGTGGGCTTGCAGCTTTCAGGTAGTATGCCATTCTAGTAGGAGAAACAAAAACAACACCAAAAAAATCACACCCCTGCAGTGGGGAGGCGTATGTATAATAAAATAAGCTAAGGGTAGCAGTTTGCATTAGCATGAATGTCTTATCAGCGCTTCTCTCCGTGGTGCCTCCTATCAGCCTGTGTAGCATCTGGGGAAGATCGCGGTAGGTGGCAGGACGCTTTTCCCAGAATACCACTGTGCTTCCTTTGGTTACAGCCCTGCCACTCCCCATCACTTGTTAATGTGGCTCAGGAGTTTAAGCACTGGGGTGGCTACTATGAATAAGGGAAGGAAAGCTCAGGAAGCAGTCATGCATCTGTAAGGGGCTGGGTCTGTTTGCTGGCTGTGGGGCGGCGTGGGAAGGTGCTGTTTTCGGGCAGCTGTTGTCCATGTTCCTTCTCTCTAGGACTACTGGGCTGAGGTAATTGCACTAAATCGGGCTTTCCTCTTAACAGATTTCCCTAAGCTGGACCCTGTGTATGGAAAGAAGTTCCCTCGAAATGCATCCTTCTTCAAAAGTGGCTTCCTGTACACCGCTCTCAGCGTGGGTCGACCCGCAGTGGACAGGAGAGCCCGAGAAGGTGAGTTGACAGGCTGGAGGGCTGTGCTATATGAGGGCGCTGATCCATTGCTGCAAGCGGCTTTGCCTGTGTTTGAGGTCTAACCGTTACAATGAAGGAAGGCCTGCCTAGCCTCCCTGTTCACGCGTGCGCAGGACGTGTTCCGTGCCCTCGGTGGGGGTGGTTCACCTGCGGAGTGGAGCAGTCTGGTGGCCTTCAAAGCAGGCACCGCGGGGCGTTCTCGCTTTTCGCCGTTAGGAGGAGGGGGTTACACTGGGCAGGAAGCCATGAACGCCCTGGTACCTGTGGGCGGGGGCGGCGGCACTGGGGGGGTGCGTCTGTTCTCCCTCCCTCCAGAATCCTCGCAGGCGCTGAGGGCGCTTTTCACAGAACATCTGGAGGAGCACCGTGTCTCCATGGTAATTAAGAGAAAGGAGCGATACTCGGATGGTGCCCTAGGGAGTCGGAGAGATACGCAGTGTGTGTCTGCTATGGGGGGGGGCTCTCTATGGAGGGGTACCTGTCGGCAGGAATACACCCTGCAGCTGTTGCTTTTTCTTTCTTGTTTCTCAGCTAGGGGCCCCCAGGTGGTCTCACCCCCCCCCCCCCCGCCTACACACGTACGCATAAGCGGGGTCCCTGTGGCCCCCAGCCGTGCTTATCCTCCCTTGCCATCATATGCGTTCAGGGGGGTCTGGCAGGTGTAGGTGTTACTCTGCGTTACTGTGAGTCTTTTGGCACCTGCTGGAGGCAAACAGCTTGGAGCAGAGCTGTTCCGGTAGGAACCACCACACAGGGCGGAGGGCGTAACCGCGGATTCTCTCAGAGTGTTACAGGGGAAGGGCGTGCGCATACACACACACACACACACACACACACACGTCTAATGGGCAGCGGGAGTAAATGCAGGTAATCGCAGAGTGTTAAAGGGGAAGGACACACACACACACACACTGACACACATTGACACATACACACACGGTAATGGAAGCAGTGAAAGCACACAAAGGACATGTTGTGAATAAAGTCGCTCTCTTTGTAAATGTAGAGTAGAAGTACTAAGAAGGTGTGTTTGCTGGGGGCGTAGGAGGAACGTCCCAGCAGAAACCATCCATCGGATGATCCCCTTGTGCCGAATACTCAGTGCTTCACCTTCATGGGCTGGAATGGCAGGGCCCTGGGTAACACTTTGCATGTTGCCCAAGCCGCTTGCATGCCAGTTTGCTTGTTCCTTATCAGGACAATGATCCCCATTTTGAACACAATGTCTGAGTGACAGCTGAATAGCAGGTGGAGCAGTGGTTAAAGGACAGGACTTATGTTCTGAAATGGGGACTCTGCTTCTGTACACTGCAGTATAAAAGTGCTAGCTGCATTCATTTTGGATCAAAATTAATGGGATAAGTGGAGAATCCGCTGTGTTGGACCCCCGTGCGAGGTTTAAGTGTGAACTGAGGTTTCTGTTCACACAGATGTGCTCCTACTTTCCTGAAACATAAGCGATTCCCGTCTTTACAAGGCTGCATAAAACCACCGGATCCCCAGATCTGATAAACGCTGTTATTTAATCCATTATGAAAGTCTTCAGTTTAGATGGGGCATTAATGGGGCATTAGGGGCATTAAAAATTCAGAAGATGGGTTAAACTTTGTGTTTAAATCAGGAGGGAAGGAGCAGAAAGGTATTTTTAAAGTTCCCTGTTTGAAAGCTCTTTCTTTAATGGTTTGATGGTCTGTGGATACAGGGGGATTAATAATTCATATACCTCAGCCTGAGCAATAATATTGGCATTTAGATCTCAGAATGGTCAACACGGTACATTATTGTTAGCAGAAGATGTAGGAAGTCAGCTCAGAATTCATTTTAGCTTGGCATTAACAGCGCAGAAGGGCAGAGTTCACCCAGATAGCGCAAAAAAGCACTGTGATGTCATTAGCGATCCATATCAAGAACTCTGTTTCCCAGAAGGCCATATAGCTGACCGAGCCATGTAATCCCAATTAGCCTGCAATTTTGTTTCGGGAAAACCGTCGCTTTTTGCGTCCTATAGCCCTTGAAAGGTGGCCCGCAGACAGAGATAAATGTTCAGTAAGCGTCCAATTAAAAAGTCCCAATGAGCCTCAAAAATGATTTGATCATTTTTCTGCAGAGCAGTACCGGAGGTTTCTGGGGGAGATGCTGTTTCCTTTGAACAGCTGCCGAACGGCTGGGACTCGGGCTTTTTTTGCTGGCAAACGGGCCATGCCTGGCAACCGCCTGACGACCAGCTTCACTTCATACTTCACTTAATCATTACTTGAATTCATCAGGGGGGAAGGCATGATGGTCTGTCTAGCAGGACATTGTCTGGAGATAATTAGTTTCCCTTGGCTGAATGGGAGCTTATTTCCTCACGGAGAACCTCCCTGGATGTTTCTGAGATATTAACTTCAGATATGTTGTTTTGACCATGAGCAGGCCCCCTCGCGGCGGCCTGGCCCTAATCGCACCGGTGAGTGCTGCAAACGAATCCTCACCTGCCCAGGGACCGCAAGTGGGCTAGTTATTGAAATGGCCCCCTGCAGAAACACTGCCCTGCTTTGCAGCTGTGTGGCCCCAATCAGCACATCCTTGTGATGAATCGACTTAATGTTACATTATGGAAGGTTGTTTATTTCAAAGGCTGTGCAAAAAACAGATGGCAGTGGGCCTTTGAAACAGACGTTAAGTACTTGTCTATGGATTGCTAGATGTGTACATATATTCACTACTATTGTATAAAAACAGTAGTTTCATGATCTGTTTTCTTAAAATGTATGTGTTTCAAAGATGAGTCTTTGTCTAACATGTTTTACTCTGATGTTGATTTTTAGCTGGATACTGCAGACTGAAACTGGCCTTTAAGCTCCAAGCGTGCTCAGTCCTGTAAAATCCGATCGTGCTCAGTCCAAGCAAACCCCGAGCGTGCTCGGTCCTGCAAAATCTGGGTTTTTGTTTTATCTGCCCATGCTAATATAATCTGAAGGGACAGTGTGGGATCAAAGCCCATGGTGAACAGGATGGTCGCTTTACAGTTGAGCCCTTCAGCAGGACCCTTCACCCCAAGAAGTGCTGGCACAGCTCTCTATCCCCAAGCCTCACTCTCACCTGTATATGTGCATGTTTCTCTCCAAAGATGGGATATGGGAAAACTAAAGAGGATTGATCATATTCAACCAATAAAATGCTGGTATTTGCATGGTAGCCAACAGCAGCGATGTATCCACTGAGTGATGTATGATGCAAGTGATGAAAACGCAGAGAAAGTTACTAAAGTGACTAATTGGCTGTTTTACTTAGTGTTGCAGTCAGAGACAGACATGTGTGACCTAAGTAAAAGACTGTAAGCACAGTGCTCTGCTTTTAAGGCAGGCCCAGTGCGGGGGTGGAGAGTTACTGACTGTGGGGGGTCTGTACCTCAGAGATGGTGCAGAGGTGGTGCCTACTGTGGTGGTGGTGGGGGGGGGGGGGGGGGGGGG